TATCTTTCATCTTAGCAATGCATGTTGAGTCTCACATGTAGGCCAGGACACGTTGAAGGTATAGGACTTTCTTTACGAACTCCAGGTCAGCCTGGAGCCCGTCGTAAATACCTCGCATGTTGTCGCCAGTCAAGGGCTCGTTCGCGACTTTGAAGCGATCCGGGAAGTAGGAGCTACTGAATAGCTGGCCGTAAGCATCCCGATCCGGATGTCGACCCGTTCCTCGTGTGCAGTTGGTTTGGCCGGGCTTGTCGGTAATATTAATGTAGTATGTGGGGTTTGGGGTTTAAAGTAGGATTTGGGGTACTTTAGGGTTTATGAACAAGAACATGGGTGATTTCATTAAGATTAGCGAGGAGTGGTCATCTTGTGTATGCTGAGTTGCCCATGGCCTCAAGCGACCAAGCCAACAGCTCCAGAATTTGATACCGCGCATCGTCATCATGATAGCACATATTTATGCACGATAACCTGAATGGGCCCAAGACTTAAGGTTCACATGTACACATGACGTGACACTACCCATGATTCTCGCTAAGCAACATGAACCGCGAATCCATTGTACTGGCCACACCCAGCGGGGCAACTAGGACGAACAGCTCGAATTTCTGCTTTTCTTAGCTGCACACATAACAATAATCACGTAATACAAAACTGTTGCAATCGGTTTGCGACATGTAGCATACAACTTGCAACACCATGCGGCTTGTAAACTCAGCCCCATCGCCGTACAGCCTGAGCGGCACACACGTGCCGAGATCTTCAACGGCCTCAGAAGTTCTATAAATAGCAGCGATTTCAACTACAGTGCACATGCAGATCTGATGCCACCAAGAAGCACTGAGGATGGGATGATTCTGTATCCACTGCTGATCTTGAAGGGCCCAGTATGATCGAATCTTGGCTTTGCCCAGGATTCAGACGATATGTCCAAAACTCAAAACCTTTAGCCCAGCCACTGAGTCCTTGTCCGGGTACAGCAAGTCTGATTTCCCAGATTTGTGAAGTGTCGAGAATATTTCATGCGGTAATAACAGGTGATGACTCACAGTCCGTGTTGTCCGGCCGTGGGAGTTGGCATTGACCTGAGGTATACAATTCAATGCCCACACGACATCAAGATCTTCAGTCACTCGATCAGCAAAACATACAAGCTCACATTTCAGATGAGAGGCAGCCGTAAGCTGAAGCCTAGCTCGAGATCATCGTGATGGATGTGCATGATGCTGCAAACACTGAAGAGTTGTTGTAGATCGAAGTGCAGCGGGGATTCGTAAAAGATTTGGGAAGGGCTTGGCGAAATGGTTGGCGATCGAACCACCTTTGTAGCAGTCTCATGGCGCCCCATCCGTTCGGGTTCTCGTGTCGGAAGCTGACAGCCAAGTCCAGAAGATCAGGCCTGATGTCAACGATGGTTTGACCACAACCTCACACACCATTGAAAAAGATGCATACAAGTATCGGAACCATGCTGTGTGGTAGCCCATGAACTCGTCGTAGGGATTCGGCCAGCTCGGCCAGGGGTATCTGCAGAACTAGAGAACATAAACACCATTATGCAGCAGCAAGCAAATTACACTCGAGTTGGAGGGTTCGCCTGTCCATCGGACAGAAGACGAAGGACTTGCTCGCAAGAATCTTGCACATAGGATCGCAGCCATGCTGCATGATCGGCAG